GGTGGTCGTCGCGCCGCGTCCTGTTCGATATGGGACTCATAGCGACGTATACAATGCTGCGCGACGACTACCGTCCTATAAACTGTTACCAAGTACAGTAAGTCAGACTCGTACGGATGAGACATGGTATCCATGGTACCCAAACGCTGTTGTATGGAATGGAATAAAACATAAGCGATGCAATAGAAAGATAACGACTGAGAGAGACACATTTCCGCAATAACTCAGCAGTTAAGAATCACGTGTTACCACGTGGTGAATTCAACTTATTGTCTGAATCTGAGTGTACGCCTGATAACCTGACTCGCAGTCGTCGTGCTGGAGCTGAAGACAATGTCGATTTTGACATATACAGATGACAATCGCATTATCAATAATACAGGACAGCTAAACAGATGATAATAATTCCCTTTTCAGTACTCTCATTTTCAGGAATCAGCTTAGGGGTGCACCATTAGAATATATGCGGGCACTGTATATTGAGTTACCACCACCACCGCTGCCGGTAACCAGGAACATCCTATTATTACTTGGTTGTATGGGGTCGCGAGACCTCCCTTTTTCAGTACTATCATTTTTAGGAATCAGCTTAGAGACGGACACTTAGAAACTACTAGTATGCGGGTAAGAGATTTGTTCATTTTATTATTATCCATTTTGAATATAGCATGTTTTTGAAAAAAAAATTGTTATTGTTATTTGTCATATTTTTGTTATTGGTCCCAGTGGGGCTCTGTTTTAGAAGTCTTTCCTTCATCAATGGGTCCCGAGTTTTTAATGGGTCACACCCTAAACCGGAAGTCACGTGTCACAAGGAATCCACGTGGTTGCCATTCGATACAAAGTTACCACCACCGCTGCCGGCGAGTACGTGGTAACCAGAATCATCCTCTCATTACTTGGTTGTATGGGTCTCGAGACCCCCATTTATGGTTTTAATTACATTTACAATTCGCCTGGATTAATCTATTCAACATTTCATGCGAGCGACAATTGTAATGAATGTTTATTTTAGGGTTAAACCACAGTCAATTTGAATGATGATTTGTTGATTTCAACCAATTCAAGAATTTAAATTTTTTTCCATGTATCAGTTTTATTCTTACACATCGTGAATGACCTCTGTGTCGGATCACTGCCCGATTCCAATGTCTTCGGCTCTCACCCCATTACCGATACATATGAACAAAAAAACAATCTTAACCCACTTTTTCGAAGTATATATGGGACATTTCTTAACAGGTCTTAAATTGGCGGGAAACGAATTAGATGACTTCAATATATCTTCCGGTAGCAACGCGAATGTTATTTTGCATTTTGAAGAGCTATTTACTTCTGTGGCAGATAGACATGTTAAAAACGTACTTTTATGTTTATTATTAAATAAATGATAACATGCATATATTAAATGTTAAAATTAAAACTAATACTGGATTAACAACTGATTTTCCATCGGCATCCGGTGTCGGACAAGGATGCAATCCAGATTTATTCAACGACCTGCCAGATAGTTTTGATATTGACAGTTGTGATTCAACTCTCGGATCAATTAAATAATTCAAAAATCAGCTATCTCGTGTATGTTGACGACATAGTCATTCTGTCGTAATAAAAAGTCTGCTTAGACAAACTGGCCGTGTACACCTCAAAATGGCGTTTAACACTAAAAATACAAAAAAAAATCTAAAATCATGCTTTTTAATTAACCAAATAAACTTCTAAATGAGAAAAAAATGTTCTATGAGGGCAAAAAAATATGTACTGTAAGAATTTAATTATTTCGGCCTCATTATTACTCCAAATGGAAAATTCAATGAAGGCCTTAAGGCAATGTTCTCGTTAAAAGAAAGAGAAAAACAGCTCAAATAAAAAATTGAGTATTCAGCTACAATTGTCACTCTTTGACAAACTCATTCAACCAATCATTGTACACGACTGTGACGTATGCAGTGACGAAAGTTCAATTGATTCTTCGATTGAAGATGTACACATTACATTCTGTCGCTCTCTTCTGAAAACCTTAAAGAATGCACCTAAAATGGCGTAACAGATATCCAATTTACAGATTATAATGGAAGATATCCAATTCATTGCTTCGTACAAAAACAGGCAATTAAATATATGATCTGAATAGCCAACTGCATGCCAGTGACATGCGAGGCATTCTTGGTTAACGAGAACCTGAAGAGCGCATGGTACATGAAAATGTAATCCACATTGTACAAATTTGCCAATTAGTATTCCAATCCAAGTCTTATTGAAATTTAATAATTGTTTTTTTAAATGGTAATTATTATGTAAATTAAGCAATTATTATGCATAGATTAGGTCTGTGTATTGTTCCAGGGCACATATGTACCAAGTTTCATTATAATGTGATGATTAATTATTAAAAAAACGATGGAAAGACGAAAAGTAAATTATTATGCAAATTGGGTAAGTATATGGATGTATATAAATCCAAAACTAATTCGTTGCATTGTTTTAGTGTATTCATTGAAAACAAATCTTAAGATATTGATGAAAAGGCTGAAAACTGATTAATTATTATGCAAATCGGGTAATTAGTATGCACAGATTGTATTGTAAAAAATAATAATAAAGGTCTGCGCAATGTCACAGACCATCAATGTACCAAGTTTCATTGAAATGTGATTAGAACTTGAGATATCGATGGGTAAACCAAACAATTATGAATTATTATGCAAATTAGGTAATTCAAATGCACAGATTTGTATTCAAAACAATTAGGTCTGTGCGTAGTCCTAGAGCATCTGTGTGCCAAGTTTCTTGAAATTTAATGATTAGTACCTGGAATATCAACCGAAAAGCCAAAACTGTACTAATTATGCAAATTGGGTAATTGATATTCACTGATAATGACCCAAAACTTATCAGGTCTGTGCGTTGTCCTAGAGCATATATGTACCAAGTGTCATTGTATTGTGACGATTAGTACTTAAGATATCAGTCGAAAATTGACTAATCATTATACTAATAGGTAATCAATGTGCATGGTTTGTTGTTTCATCAAAATCCAATAAGTAATTTTTTTAGATATAAGTGGAACAGTCATGAAACAGCCAAAAATTAGCTAATTATCATGTAAATTAGGTAATTAGTATCCATGGATTTAACCAAACATCTAATGGAATATGTGTATTAGTCCAGAGTATCTATGCATCAAGTTTCATCAGAAAACAACAAATGGCTTTTGAGGTATCAGTGGAAGAGACGGACACACACACATACATACAGACAGACACATTAACTGCAAGGACCCCCATTGCTTCGCACACGATGTCAAAAATATAATAACGGCAAGTAAAACCTGAAAATATTCATAAATAAACAAAAAAATAACAATAAAGAAAATTGGAGCCTATGCCTTCATCGCATTTTAATCAGGTTGCATTTCCACCTCTGAGATATTGATTCTGCCATTTTCTCTGTGCTTTTCTGTTCTTTTGTCATGTCGCTTTTCGTTTTTTGCTGTTTTCGTGTGCATTGTATCTATTATCATCCATTCTATTGAATATTAATAAATAAATAAATATGATGGCTATTTTGATAGTAAAAGAGCTCCCTGTGATTACAGCGAGCGCAAGGTATTTACATACACCAACCTACGTGACTGTCGCATACGACTTATTTACCACTTCCGTGTCACTGAGAATGTTCTAGAACCGTACTGTGTCTGGGTGGAATATTCTATTTTTTTTTAGAAAATGGTTGAATAGGTAATAGAACACTGTAGGAGGCAATATAAGGTAATGGAACATTCTAGAAATTGGTAGTAAGTTCAAGATTCATTATGTATGCTGATGTAATGGTCTATTTACTGACAAGTAGGAGTGGCATCCTCGTCGGCCGAACGGCACACTGTGTTGGTTTTGGAGCACCGCGGAGGGCGTGACTCACGCGACCTTGTCAGGCTTCCAACTAAAAGACTAAGATGTAGATACACATACTATATTTGATTAGAATTCACGGCATTGACTCTAGTTTTCTTAGTTTTATCATGTAATATTAGACGTGTTGTATTTTCTATGTTTTAGTTTTTTGAGACCCTACTGTTGTACCTTTCTGTGTCAGTGTTGTGTCAATAAAATATTGTTTTCTTCCAACTTTAATGCACTGGTGGAAGTCTCTGATTTATGCATTCTTCACGAATGTATAAAAGGAACACAATCAGTCATTTTGTCCCTTTTTAGTCAGTATGACAAAAAGCCAAAATGATATGACACCATGAAAGGTAATTGCCTCTACAGTGAAATCAAATGAACACTCATAGGGCAAAATGTTAGGATGCTACACAGACAAAACACATTCACATGTTATTATGGATACACACCATTTTATACGACATGTCACTATGTGTGTACTCATTTGGTACCCGCAGGGACGGACGGACGAATGAGGGAGGGAGGAGTTTGTGTTAGAAATTCAAGTTCTACATAAGTAGGAAAGGTGGCGCCAATAAGGCACTCCCCCATCCTAAAAATAAACATGTACCATGTCCACAACGCATATAAAATATATTTTTACATTAGTTCACGCTTAAAAATAACATACTAGTATTAATGAATGTAAAATATAGCTGGCTTCCTTCTCAAAGCCACACTTAATTACAAAATAAATCGTCACAGAACATTAGCAAATACCTGTTGAGTATATTACGCCACATGCGCGGTTTATATCAAGACTTTAAAGGGCGGCAATCGTCGTGCCGCGTCCTGTTCGATATGGGACTCATAGCGACGTATACAACGCGTGTAAAATACATTGTTTAGTTACATGAAATTCGAACACGCGCTGCGCGACGACCACCGCAATGGCAACGTAATTATAGTGTAAATCATATGTTTGTATACAATCATGTCAAGTCTTTTTACGATTTTTTTTAGAAATCTTGTATTTAAATTTAGAGAGCGTATATACACCTCTGATAACAGTCTGTTGGTGAGCTTATGTAACTCTGATGTCCGTTGGAAGTCTGCCTTGTTCCAGCATTGGAATAATATTTTGTACTATTAATATTGCCATACGCACACTAGTTGGCAAACGTGGCATTTTTTTTTCTTCATTCATTTCTGTTGACCTACTTATAGTTTTTGTTCATTTATTTATTTGTTTTTCATACTAGTTTTATAAAGACTTTCAAATGCTTGACAGTCTGACATAAAGATAAATAATAATACACAGTATCAAGAATTCTTTAGAGGGAGTGGTTATTCCCTCTGTACGCCACATGTTCTGTACACTTCTTAATTTCATTGTTAATTACCTCCATGTTTTCATCAATGATTGTTGACATCATGGTAAAAGAATGAAAAATTTGGCAGCCTAGTCAGAGCAGAACAGGTTAGAATACATAGTCAGTCGGAGCACAATATGGTCATAAACAAAAAACACACAAATAATACTGCTATAGTAAACCCCTCAGACGTCTTACATACGTATGAAGGACTGTCAGATGATTTTATTTATCACAATCATCCAGGTGTAGTTGTATAATTCCCAGGTCGTCAAACTTATTCAAAAGTTTAAATTCGGTGGCGTAGTCGTGGGTTTTTTTGTACGAATCCCATGAAATATCTTCAGAGTAATGCATCGGAATAGCGCCCCCTGCGACATTCGCGGGAAATGGCCAAAAACCGTAAACGTGAATGTCTTCACACAAATCGAGTGCTATACTAACGATAGTCAGACCAGAAGAAAATATTTTGCGACCAATCTTCCAGTAAGTTCTAAACTGTTTCGAGTATTGTGGGTCAGCAAATAGTAGGCGAAGCGATGTGTTGGTCTGTAAAAGTTTGGCAACTTCAAAAGCCATTTCCATAGTGCTGTTATGGTGTTGTTTCCAGCTATGTGGTATCCACATGAGATATCCGTTGTAATCTGCCAATACGTTGATGGTTTTTAGAACATCTAAACGGGAATGTTTGTCGATCAAAGACCTGGTGCTTGGAGTTATGGTCGTCAGGTTGGTTTTACTTCCTGCATCATCGGCGAATTTACGGATCTCTTGCAAATTCGTCCTTATAACAAAATCGTGACCGTCTATTTCCTTGCCACAATTGCTGTTTTTAAGAATCCCGCCATTCCCGACAACTGCACATGTCTCAAACAAGTTCTTGTTCGAAAAAGGGGACGTCTTAGGAAGAATGTTTAGAAAACTCTTCTTGATCGTCACAGAATATTGAAAATACGAGTTGTAATATTTTTTTCCAACATGAGTGTTCTCTTGAGTTAAAAGAAAACTACTTGTATTCATATGCTGCTTCAGTTTCTGACGTATTTCAAAAATATTGTCGCTAATCGTCTGCTCGTGTGATGACGTCATGGCGCTAGTCCGCGACGGTTTCCCCAATTTTCTGATCTGTGACGAATTCCAGTTTTTAAAAGAAATAGTATGATTTACGGTTCCGTAAAAATACAACGTCGCGAGTGCAGTTACACTGAACAGGCATAGCCCCAAAAAGCAGCACTTTCCCCCCAATGCTTGTCTGACCCCGGAGTTCATGGGTATAGCTAATCACCCAGAACCGAAACGCGCATGCGTCGTAGTATTTAGATAAATATTCGAAACTCTAGATACTACGGGGTAACGGGATACATGTATGCGGGTCTCGTCGGAATAAGCTGAAGAATTCCAAACACCGTTCTTGATCTTCGACATAGAAATTAAATACAACCTGCAGGTTAGCCACTTCTGTTTTCAAATCGCAATTACCAGCCGAACACTTCCTTTCCTCATATCCCTGCCATTCAAGGCGGCCCAAGCGGCGTCGAGAAGCCGTGTCAAATTTATCTACACCATGGAGGCACACCAATAATCACAAGGAAGCAGTTTCAGTCCAACGTATCGATATGACCATGCCTGTGACAATAATAATAACTGCATGTAAGAAACACCATCCTCACAAATGGCTATGCGTTGAATACAGTCTTCCGAGTCAGCCAGCCATTGTTGAAAACATCTGCATTGGGCGTGCGCATTCAACTGCGTCGTCGTTAATATATGCAACAATGTACGATTACTCGAATCCATTATCATAATGGTTACCTCACTGCTTGGATAGCCTTGCCCGTATTAGCTTACTTATGTTCCAGGAGCGGCGCCAAGATTGGGGGGGGGGCGATATCTTGAAATCTAGACCTTCTAAAACGCTATTACCTGCATTTTGAGGGTTTCAGCTTGATTGGGGGGGGGGGTGAACCACAGAATGAAGAGTAGAGACTAATTGGCAGCGACTAACTTGCGCTGTCATATGACGCGTTATAACTTTACAGGCATTGATAGTTTGAGTTAACATAACGCTTGTCGGAAAATAAAAGGCAATTTGAAATTGAAAAAAAAAAAAACACACATTCGGACATATAGTGATATCAATCAGTTGCAGCAATTGTAATAAACAGACAACTGGGGTTGTATGTGAGGCATTGTCCAGAATATTTCTCACCATTCCCCGCACCAGTAGCATATTTTGTGGCTCAAACTCAGAACGGGGAAAGGGGAAAGGAGGCACAAGCACCACTAAATATCATATATCAACATAACTCGACCACTGGGGCGGGGTTTCAATTCCTGAATGTAGTTCTCTGGTAAAGCCACTCAATTTACGAGATTTCGCGTACTACAATGCCCTGCCCATAGTCAGCTGGTGTACAAGTGGTAATAAAATAACTTTGATTAATCTACCGATATTTACTCTATTGGAGCAGACATCTTGAATACAGCTTGAAACTAACCGTTGAAAAAAAAACAAAAAAAAAACGTTTTTCAACTTGTTTCTTTACTTAGTTTCAAGACGGCTTCCCCCATATAGTATCGGTAAATTAATCGAGTTTATTTTATTATCACTTGTACGCAAGCTAACTCTGGCCCTGGCCTATTTTTTCACCAAGTACGGTCTCGACATCAGGGACATTCATGTTCGCACAAGTCTCACTAAATTTTACACTGCACCGACATATCCCGCCATATTTGGAGGTAAGAATTTCAATTAACTGGTTCATAAGACTTTCGTCTACAGCATAACACACTGATCTCGATGACTGCGATGATCCCGCAGTTGAACGGAACATTACCTATTCTCAGTGGTTCAAGATACTGGAAACAGTTCCTAATACAAGTAGCGCGGTATACTTTGCGGACACCATTATAATATTACAATCACGTATTTTACCATATCATTTTTGATAACTTTTCAATAATACTCGGTCATGTGTGTGAACAATTACGACCGGCAGTATGTCAGTGGAAAAAATATATGGAAAAACCTGTGATAATTGTTCAAGAGATTTTAAAGTTCAAGAGAGTGGTGGAAATACAGCTGGTGGTGGTGTATCACATGGTACGTAAATACCGGGTCAGCGGTAATACCGTTAAACAAATATAGACATTACTACAGTAACGATACAACAAGTATCTTGCAAAGGGAAAATAAACGAGACGGTGCCCCGTGCTAAAATTGAATTACGTCATTATAACCTTCTTCCAATAACGTTAGAGTGAAACTTAAACACTAAATACCTGTATGCATGGTCATTTTATAACTGACGTTTTAAGGCGCTGTGTGGTCAGTAATCTATATTGTTGTGCTGTAAGCACTTTTCAATTATCTCCAACGGAATCCAACATGTCTTGGGGGCTTACTTTGAATAGATCGCAGCGAAGCGGCTGCTCTGCTAAGTACGGCACCCCGGCGATGTAGAGTCGAAATAAAATAAAGTATGAGTCAATCCATTTCAATATGACAGTGTCTTCACAATAAACGAGCGGTGGCCATGAAAGGTGATGAATATTATAACACAGAAATATGTAAATGCATTGGTTAATGCGTTGAGTACATCGTAAACGCTATCAGCACTAGAACCTCGTGGCATGTTGGTACTGGACAATGCGCCCATTCACCACAATGTCGAAAGTCCATGGCCTAAGGTGTTTTTTTCAACAAAAATGTTTTAATCAAAGTCGCAATGCGTTTGCGAAATTGGCTCTGTGGTAGGCCGCTACGCCATCATCCGTCACTGTAGAGAAATTCTCCTGTAACGTAGTAGCATATCAAGGTGATTGACAGGTAGAATGATGTCATGAAATCACAATCGCATGTCACTGGGGGTGCAATATTTGCTCACGACTTTCGTCGGAGTTTTGCTGAGCGAAGTGTTTTGGGAACCTTTGAGTAGATCTCTGTCGTACATCCAGAAAGCGTACTGATATTGACTTGGCCATACTGTCTTCTCATTGGTCAGACTATCGTTTAGGAGTGTCGTTTGGAATAACTATCGATTGGCCATTCTCATCCGCCGTAGTATTTTTCCAATACACCCATACATACTCAACTTGAATGCGGGCACAAAATGACTTTTGTTCACTTTAAAATTAGAAAATTGGAATTTGAAATAAGGATAATTATCATTTCGTGTGCTATTCGTGTGTTTACATTTTTGCCAACCTACAGGCAAAAGTGTGATAACAAATGTCGTTCACTGATCAACACAGGCCAGCAATCTGCTGTGATAACATTGTCCTATCAACAGGAACACATACATGTATATTTTATCTTACCGGAAGTGTGACGGCCTGTAGATAAACTGGGCATGTTGAACATTAGATTGGATTTGTTCTTCTTCCAATCTTGTAAAAAATACATTCGGGATGGGCAGAGAAACAGTAAAACTTACTTGAGAATGTCATTTTAAAGCTTTAAATGAAACACGCAACTAATACAGTAGAACTTAAAGCGCGGTAGTCGTCGCGCTGCGCATGTTCGACATTTGTGTTGATAAACATTAATTTTCCCACAATCCAATGCGCTTTTCAAATGGAAATCACAAGTATGAGGTTTGACCTGGGCGCGACTTGCACTGATTACCGCCGGTGACTCTTTTCGATACCTTCCAATCACATGAAAATTACCTAATTAAAGCTTGGAAACGTGTCAGTTCGTACTCGTTGATCTGCGCAACAGTCAAAGTCGCCATATTTGTTTATATGAGACCCATATATCTCACACATGCGCAGCGGCGACGACTACCGCGCTTTAACTGGTGGCAATTTTTCTTAGCGTTATTTATATAAATGTATTCATTTATTGATCAAAGCTCATTTAAATTCTTTCCTGTTGTCATTCATGTTTAGCTCCAACTTCTTTATAACTGTGTATTAATACTCAATGATACAATTAAAACTCATCTTCAATCGCGTTGTTTTCTGGAGCGGCATCATCTGTCATTCCTTCAGATTCGTTACATGTATATAACGCTAACATTAAAGTTTTATCAAAATAAACCCAGTATTTTTGAAGTTACACTTGTATTTCAACCATCATCATGTACATTCCCACACACAAAACTTACACAATAATGGAAAGACCAGAGAATTACCAGGCGGGAATATTGTTACATATTGTATTTGGGAGAAGCTGCGTTTTGAGGTCCCCACAATACGTCTTGAAGACGCTAGACTAGCGCAGTCGTGGTAATTTTATTGTTTTATATCATAACAGAAAAAAATGTGACGGAAGCGAAGAAAATTGTCATCTGTAGATGTGTTGACGATATTCCATTCCAAAACGCATACTCATTTCATGAGACATAATGGCATATTTCTATCTCAATTAATTTTATTAATTTGCAATTTAAGATGAACAAGGTTTACTGTTTGTTTGTTATATTATAATGTTTATTTCGAGAGAGATAAATAGGGGGAATGATCAGACCACAGTCCCTCTATCCTGTGATCAGACCATGACTATACTGAAATGTGATTAGACAGTGGTTGGATGAGCTGTGATATTCAATTACCATGGCAACGCATGTATCAGTCACTGCATTTCTCAATGTGCAGTTTTAGAACTCCCTGGTGGTGTAGCTTTGTTAACAAATCAAATTCCGTTCGATAGTCGTGGGTGTTATTGTACGTGGACCAGGAGAGGTCTTCGGCGTAATGCATCGGAAGAGCGTCTCCTTCTGAGTTGACGGGGAACGGCCAGAATCCGTAAGCATGAATTTCTTCGCACACAGACAAGGCTATACTAATCATAGTCATTCCAGAGGACAGAATCTGTCGACCAAATTGCCAGAAATCTCCAAATTTCCTAGAATATTCCGGATCTGATAGAAGAAGTTTAAGCTTTGTGTTTTTATGTACGAGTTCTGATACTTTAAATGCCATGTTGTGCGACACCCACCAGCTATTCGGTACCCAAACTAAATATCCGTTGTATTCAGTGAACACGCTCAGAGCCCTCGATTTATTAAAATCGCCGTGCTTGTTGACCTTTTGCAAGGATACTGTGGATGGGGATATACTTGTCAGATTCGAGCGTCTTCCCGCGTCGTCTGCGAAACCGCTGAGTATCGGCAAGTTCGTACGAAAAACCAATTCCGATCTGTCAATGTCATTGCCGCAACCGCTGTTTTTCAAAATACCACCATTTCCGACGACAGCGCACGTTTTAACCCCAGCATTATACGCGAAAGGTGATGTTTCTGGAAGAAGAGTTCGCTTAGACTTGTCAATTTGCATGGGAAGTTGGAGATATGTATTGAAGTACTTCCTACCAATGGGCGTGTTTTCCTGGGTGAGAAACGGTTGTCTGTTGTTCATGTGTCTGGCAAGGCTATTTCGCAGTTCTGCTATTTGCGTTCTATTGATACTCCAGTGACGTGAGTTACAAACTATTTCCTCCAGTGACCTTCGCAGTTGATTATCGGACGGCGTTGTTGCCCTGGTGATGTGCAGCTTCAGTTGGAGTAGGTCGTTCGGCTCACTGTAATTAAGCATTAGTGTAAATGCTGTGCCAATGGCTGTTAGACAAAATACGCCTATAAGGCAATACCATCGTGACAAACGACTCAGCAATCGCCGAACGCCTAGATCCTTTGTTTGTCGCGTCGTGGCCGCCATACTGCACAGTCTTTTGTTGATAACGCGGAAACAATGTCGATCAAGTGAAACCGACAGCACCACAGGCAAGGACACGATATATATTGCGATAAATATCTCACACAACAAAGATATCTTCCTAAAATCTTCCAGAAATATTGCAGTGGTCTTTCTCAATTTGTCCAAGGATCGGAGAAATCAACATCCTTTTAAATATTACCATATACGGCATTTCATCTGAGGGAAGATACATAATGGCCGCGTATGTACATGTACGATACGGCGCATGAGCAGTTCTTTCTAAATACTAGTATATGACAGGATCGAAGGACAATACGCGTAGCGTGAAATCCACACAATGTAGCGTACATTATTTTAACTATTTTCGCTGAAGGAAATAAATATAAAATAAAATCAATAAAATCCAGTGAAAATTCCATTTTCCCTTTATTTTACGTTCAACCCATCTACTCATAAGCGAAAATAAACTTCCTATAAAACAGCCAACATGTCAGTCAGCGAAAAATAATTCCAGCTATTTCACAGTAAAACTATACTCCCTCACAACAAAATTGTGTTAGCAGAATTATTTTACATGTAGTTGTCATTATTTACCTAGCTATTTAGACCATCTAAACACTCTTTTAAATTCTGTCATGAACAGATATTGACGTGTCTACCCCTGAATGAAAATACCGTAAATTTACCCATCTCACACTAAATTACTAGTATACTCCCGGTCAATGTTAGGATATCGACTTAAACAAAGTTGGAGTCATCAGCCTATTTTGCGGGAAGTGATTGTATTTTAGTGAGTGACGCTATTTGTTGCCAAATTGGAACATCTTGATTGAGATAATATGCCATATTGTCAAGTACATATAACTATAGACTGTTTTACACCGTATTTAACCGAACGAGGTTTTGAGATATGGTGAAAACTTTTTACCATATAACACAATGGTAAATGGCTTGACAATCATGGATCACCATGGAGATTTGATCAGTGTATTGTGCAAAAATCAGTTCGGAGGTCAGTTATTTTATCTGTGTTTTGAGATCAACATAATATAATAAAACCATATTGAAAATTGAATGTCATTTGAAACTACCATCTTTTAGAATTTGAGATAGTATGTTGTGTACATGTATGTCACAATACACATAGTTTGCACTTTTGTGACGCATACGAGTAAAAATGTGGCACCCAAACAGACGATTTTGTTTAGTTTATTACGTAATTGTCATTTATAATATAACAAATCTCTGAAAAACATGCATTGCAATTTGTTATTGGCGGATGGTTTTCACTCATTTGCAAAAAAGCTCGATCTCTAGAGGGCGCTATTTATAGGAAAAGTATGTTGATAAATGCATTGGACTTTGATTTATCGTAGCGTTGAATTGCTGTTCTTGGAGCACGCATCCGAGTTTTTGTTTGATAAAAAAAAATGACATTATCTAATACGCATGCGCACCAGTTGTTTTGGTATGTACAATAACAATCAATGCACATGTACATTAGTATTTTTTATTTTCCATCCAAAGAATTTTGTTGTGTGTTCTGGATACTTAAAATTTTTAGTTTATGATAAATTATAATCCGATTTGTTCTACAGTATGGAATGTCGAACCACAGTATTAATAAACATATGTTTTCGTCCATATTGCGTCTTTAATTACAATATTTCAATAACCAGAGAGCTTTCTAAAATCACAACAGGAATCAGCTTACCAAATTTCGAAATTTCAATCTGTGAATGTAGCGAAATGCACAAGTTAGCTTTTGTCAATAAGAGTATAACTATTTCAATAATACATACAAGACGTGTCATATTCACAACCTTATTCACTGAATAATCTAATAAACATTATGTACATAGTCATTTATAACATTATTTCTGCTATGAGTGTGCTAGATTGGTGCGTATGGGATGAGAAGACATCATAGCATGATGAGACACAGACCTCTTAGATCACTCTATAGGGGGACTTTGACCTCCCACAATTTCATATTGTTACAGTCGCCGTTGAGGGCGATTTCGAATCCCGGTTTTAATCAAAGCGGCAGGGTCGTCACCTGCGCACGCGCGGGAATTGAGTCCCAAGCGATGATAATAACACACGCTAACAACGCAAAGGCTCATGGGTAGACGCATGTTTGTAAACAATGATATGCTTTGACCATCTGACGCACGCGCAGGCGACGACTCCCCCGCTTTAATTACGACTTTTACATTGCCCCCAACAAACAAACGGACCATGACTAGCGAAGATAACGTTTTATCTTTATACACACTTTCTTATTTATAAATAACCTTATCTTCTATACTGAAATATTTATTTAATCATGATTCGAGATATTTTATACATATAAACAAATTATAAAGATTCCATGAAAACAATCGGTGTTGCAGCATTTATTTACAAACCAGGTATCAATGAATTATAATTTTTATAATTGTGGGTCGTACATAAAAGTGTGTTATATTATTTACATATCATACATCATAATGCATTATTTATTTATATATGAATATGATTGTGTTTAAGCAAGCTTGTGTTTTTGTAAACAATGATACACATTTGTTTATTTTCTATTTCATTTCATAAATTCACGGTTTTAGGTCAGTCGTTCCCACAACTCGTCACGGTGTACTTCAAGGAGGTGGGGAATTGGCACGAGAGGGCGCCTTCCGATTTGGAAGGAACGTTTTGCAGTCAGTCGTCCTTAGCCTGAGGCCAAGGTTTGGCGCTACTAGTGTTTTGCAGGAGTGAGCTCTACGCGTGATTTAAAGCTTTCAAAATTGTTCCATTTCAAACTTAGCATGCACAGACAGTGATGTCTCGAAGTGCATACTAATTACGTAGCTTGGCAGTAGTAAAAGTTATTGAAAATATTATGCGCAAATTTTAGCAATAGTACTATATAAAATATCAATTTTCAATGAATTTCGTTAAGGTAGAGGCCTACTCATATTTTTTGAGAAATTTGGTCATAAATCGCATGATAATGTTCATTGGTCTATTATGTAAAATCATGGAGCTATTGGCCCATGGCACCATGAAATAGTAATCTATTGTGTGTTACAGTGACGTATTTTGAGAAACTTGTCCTAATTTTGTTCAAAAATAGCTATTTTTAGAATGTTAAACAAAAATTGCATTTTTCAACACTTTTTAAAACCCAGATTTTTGAAAAAATGCAGGAAAACAAAAAGTAGCCCATCATTAACAATATTATTTTTCAGCCTATGTCACCAGCCTACAATTTGAGATATGACATAATATCTCTGCCATAGGAACATATGGTAAAAGCACTATAATACTGCCAAAATGGCCGCTATCCACTAAAATACAACTATCATTTTCTCGAAAATTAACCTGATGACCCCCATTTTTTTAAAGCCAATACTCTTATATTGCCTGGAAGTACAATATATTAAAAAATTAATAAATTCTGGGTTTTTGAAATCATGAGTAGGCATCTACCTTAAAGAAAAAAAAACATGTCATTCAAGGGTCAACGAACTATGTTTACACCCAAGTAAATATTGATTGGAGTGTCACTGTTGTTGTTACTTTGTAGCTTATCACGATAACGAATACACCCAGAGGTTCCGTTTTATGATCCACTTAATAAAAAAACATCATGTGATTACAATATGCACACTGACACCTGTGACATTCATGTCACGCGCTGATTTTATTCGATTTGTTTCGTCAAAGGTCATGCTGACCTGACAGATCCGGTGATTATACCTCCCTATTTTAGCTCGGACATTATTGGTGACTTGCATTTGTAAACGATTTCAGACCGGTTTTTAGTAAAATCTTGAAAATATTACGCAACTTGTTTGTAATTTAGTTGAGCTATGGAAAGTGACATGTTTGTTGCTCATCATAGTGTAAATAAATTTATCCATCTCAATTCTGGGTTCGAAATAAATAATATGAATTTATGCCTTGTTAAATAAATGCCGTCTATGTGACCTGAATGTTGAGATATTCATTAAAGTACTTTTCATCTTCAACGTTATTGTGTGTATATTGGTCAAAATGTTATAGAATTAACTTAAGGTAGCGAGACTATTATTTGTGTTGAAAATTACGATTTTCACATTTATTTATTAATTGATGAAATGCACTATAAACTTTCATGTGATAAAGTCAACATAACATAGAATGTCATGTAAGTTGGTTAAAATGTAGATTTTCTGAAGGGAAGCAAGGCAGCTTCAGTAGTGTTTTCCAAAATCAACAACACAGGTTTAATCTGTGTGCCTATAAGTTTCAAAGATAAACTCAAGACAAAGCAATGTTAGGATGTGTTATCAGTAGCTATCTGACACACAATTAGTGTTTCCAAACATTTGAGTGGTTTGTCTCCGCCCCTATTTGTTTCACAGATTGGTCATTTGCATATGAATGTGTCAGACACAAGTCACACAGCCA